CTGTCCAATCCAAATCTCCCTTGATGCAACTTCAGGCTGTTTCCTTTTGTCCTGACACATTTTTGGAGCTTAGTGACTTTGATCTCATCTCATCAGGCTTGAAAAGATATTTTTTTCAGAGTGAGTGTCCTGGAGATACTTGATGTGCAGCTTTTTTTTTCAGAGTAAGTGTCCTGGAGATACTTGATGTGCAGCCTCTGGTTTGGAGTAGCTGACCTTTTTATTATTCTTTGGTTGGAAATGAGGCTATAAATCACAGAACCACAGAATCAGTGAGGTTGGAAGGGACCCCAGTGGATCATCTGGTCCAACCTCCCTACTCCAGCAGGGCCACCCTAGAGCACATGGCTCAGGGTTGTGTCCAGACAGTTCTTCATCACCTCCAGTGAGGGAGAATCATATTGTTCTATGAAATGCATCTGTGCAGATGTACCTTTAACGTGTATGGACTTGGAAGGATTTCAAAGAATTTAAAAAATCAGAGGCTGATTTTTCCCTGTGCTTGAATGGCTGATAAAACATTGTGTGGGAAGGTGCTGCTTACCTGTCTATTCCAGTTATATTTATTTCCTTATGGAGAGATGGAATGTGAACCTTGTTGGTTAGTAGAGACCAAAGCATTTTTTGGACATGTTTATACTAGAATAAATTTATATTAAAGTGTATGGAACAGCTAGACTTGCCTTTTTGTTTGCCCTGTTTAAACTCCCATCCCATAAGCTTAATTATGCTTTCTGTGGTGAAGACTAAAGGATGAAACTTTTAGGAGCACTCAGAATTCACCTGGTTTTTTATTACAGTACTTTCAAGGTGGTTTTCCCAATCATTTTTAATAGAAACAGAAGTTAGAGCAGTGCTGGGCACATGCAAAAATCCTATGTGTAATGTGCAATTTTTATTATTTCTTTCAAATTGTCTTAAGAGAGGGAAAGTGTTTTATTGCTCAAGAGAGAAACAACTGCAGCAACCAGAGTGCAGAGTGGTTTTAATATCAACTAAAAAAAAAAAGACACAAAAGGTCAATTAGTGCTTAAAAATGTGGATGCAGAAATCAGAGCAGCCAAACTTGTGTTCTAGTTGTTCTGTGTTTTGTCTGTTAGAGCCATTGCATAGCATTTGTTGATATATCACTACGATGAAATCATATGTACCTGTGGGGGAGTGGAGGGATGTACTGATTACACATTCCCCCTGGCATGTCCTGATGGGACATTTGGCCTCTTGACAGCACCAGGGATGCAGTGATATTTCGCAGTGGCACGAGTAGGTTGCCAAGCAGCAGCTGCTTTTGCCAAGCACCTTGTTTGGAGCGGTGACTGCTCGGCACATCTATTTGTGGCACAGAGAGAAATGCTCAGTGGGCTTGGCCAGCCACTGAGCCTTCTCTGTAAGAGTCCCTGTCTGCCTCTGGCAGCCACCAGCATGGGCAGCCAGAGTTGAAAGCTCTCCAGAGGAAGCAGTGGCCAGGAAGTCAGCACTCGTCCTTCAGCAGTGATTGAGCAATCAGGCTATTTTGGTATTATTTTCCAAAGCCCTTCTCCATAGCTGTATGGGACACTTCTTCCCTCTTCTCCTATTTCCTCTAGCACCTTCCCTACCATCAGTTTTGGCTTCTGATGAGATCCTCAGTGTGCCAGGAGGAGACTCTTTGTCTTTTTCTTTCCTACATACCTTTTCCAGTTACACACAACTTCTCCATTTTCTCTTCTCCTTGATGCTGCGTCCTTAACACCTGGCTGGTAGGTTTTGTCCCAAATCACAGGGAATGCCCTTGGGAAGCTGCTGCTGCAAATCAGCAATCCCTTACATGCTTCTCAGTCCCCACAGACAGCTTCACCTCAGAGTCACCTAGAATTCCCTAAGGAAAAGGCAATGTATCTGAGGTCTTGGCAGCAAGGCTCCTGCGGAATGACAGGAAGGAGAAGGATGGCCTGCTGCTCTGGATCTGTGGATTACCAAACCTTCACAGCAGAAACTGTTATGCTTCAGGTGCAGAAAGGTCCTTATTCAACTCCTGTCAAGCTACTTTCTTGCCTCATGGAAAACATCAGGAGTCATTCCACCAGAGCAGTGTTAACATGCCTCAAGAACCAGGCAGCCAAAGAAGCAAGCAAATATTTTCCTGGCAGCAAAAGTGGCTTCCAGCCACCTCAGTCACCTGTGGATTTGAGGTTACTGCAAGGACTGAAGTAGTTCACCAGCAGAAAAACTCTGCAGGGCTCTCTTGATTCATAGCAGCAGCCTCTCAGGAGAATTGCCTATGATCTGGGACAAGATACAGAAAAATAGTTGAGAAACCGTTGAGAAAACAGTGATAATGGGAAGAGAAGGCCTGACTTGCTGTTTCTTATCTCAGTAGCTTGGTGCATCTAAACTAATCCTGGAAGAATCAGCATGTTTAGTCCACTGCAGTCAGTCTTGCTGCAGTTTCTCATACCCACAGAAGCTCAGCAGAAAGTTTGGGAAGCAGAGTGGAAAAGAGCCTGCATCTCTCTTACCAAACAGCATTCATTTCCATCCCTGGTGCTCCAGAGGACACAGAAACCTTTTGTTGCAGGACTGTTTCCTGCAATGGTGCTCTGGCAAGATCATTGTGGCCTAGGGCTACAACCTGAGCAGTGCTTCATCTGGAGCTTGCCCCATGGCAGTTAAAAATAGGGCTTGAGCTGCAGCCAAGCTGTGTCAGTGGTGAGGGTGCAGCCTCCTCAGCCTGTTACAGCTTGTGAGTCCTGGTAGCTCTGGTGCAGGATGGATAATCACACCTACAGAAGGGTAAATAAGCAGGGTCATGCTGCCTGGTGCCACCTACACAGGGGAATGGCGTGCCCAGAGGTTGCTCCTTGTTGAGGGGAAGTGAAGGAAAGATGCCTGGCCAAACCCATCCCACAAATTTGGCAGCAGCAGCAGCAGCATAGGGCTGTGCTGGCTCCATGCAAGCCCTGGCCTGCATGCAGAATGGTGTGTGAGCAGCTTTACACTTACTGAGCAAGCTTTCCTAACTAGTGGTGAGAGATATGGCCCAAAACCTTCATCAACCAGACTCTCTGCAGTAGGTCCTAGGAAGGTGAAGGTATATTAAGTTGTAGCCTTGACTGGACCTTCTGTGATATCCTGTGACAGGATGAGGGGAAAGGGCCTCAAGGTGTGCCAGGGGAGATTTAGATTGGAGATTAGGACAAATTTCTTCATGGAAAGGATAGTAAGCACAGCAATAGACTGTGTGGGGAAGAGGTGGAGTCACCATTCCAGGAGGTATTTAAAAGATGTGTAAATGTGGCAGTTGGGGACATAGAACCATAGAACCATCAAGGTTGGAGGAGACCTCTGAGATCATCCAGTCCAACCATTAACCTGTCACTGCTGGAACCACTAAACCCTAAACCAGATCCTCCAGGGTCAGATCCAGATGTCTCTTCAACTCCTCCAGAGATGGTGACTCCACCACCTCCCTGGGCAATATCCCAGTGCCTCAACACCCTCACAGGGAAAACATTTTCCTAACATCTAACCTGAATCTCAGGGGGTTAGTGATGAACTTGGCAGTATTAGATTAATGGTTGAACTCACTGATCTTGATATCTTTTCCAGCCTAAATGATTCTGTTTCTCTGATCTTCTAGTCCAGATTTCTCAGCTTGTTCCCCTCTGCTCACCTTCTTCTTGTCCTCTGCTTTCTCATGCCCCTGTGCAGGCTAGCAGATTCTTCAGGGACTGTGCTGTTATGAGCACAAAGTGCATGTGGTTCTGCAGTTCAGCTGATTGCTGACAAGGCTGAGCCAGTTCAACACAAGAGGTAGTTGCTCAGGAGAGCTTCCCAAATCTGCCTTAGCTGCAGGTACGAGTTGTGGGAAGCAGATTATCCCATGTCTGCTGCAAGTGCTGTGCTTCAAGCAGGGAGAGCTTGGAGGAGTTGTTAGCTGCAGCTCTGCAGCTAATCACCCCTGCTGCCTTCCCTAGTAAGTGGTGCACCACAGGTTTTTGAAATAGAATATAACTGTGAGATAATTGCAACATTAGGAGGGAATTCTGTGTGGGGAAAGAATGATTATTTTTAACTCTTTCTTCCTCATCTTGCTGTCTCAGTTCTTTAATGTCCACAGTAAATTATTTCAATGAGTGTTGTTACATTAGATAGTTGTTCTAAATGCAGCACATCACTGGAAATAAAGCTTTGGGTTTCCTCCTTCATATGCAATATGTGCATATTTTCCCTGTGAGGGTGGTGAGACACTGGCCCAGGTTGCCCAGGGAGGCTGTGGCTGCCCCAATCCTGGCAGTGTTCACAGCCAGGTTGGATGAAGCCTTGAGCAATCTGCTCTGGTGGGAGATGTCCCTGCCCAGGACAGGAGGATTTGGGACTAGATGATCTGTAAGGTCCATTCCAGCCCCTAAAATTCTATGATCCTATGATATTGCCCATTATAGCATACCTGGCAGTTTGGTTAATGGCCTGTGAAGCACAGCAGAAACTAATCTGTACCTCCCCATTCTCCAAAGTACTGACAAGAAGAATGATGCCTATTGATAAATTCAGCACATAGGACTTAGAAGACACAAGCAGAACATTAAAGGCATTTTGTCAATGTAATTCATATCCTGTAGAATTAAAGCAATATTTACCTAGTGACAGGAGCCTCCTCTTCATACTTTCCACTGCTGCTTTGCCCATGATAAAACATTGTTTGAATCCATCTCCACCCCTCCCAGAGCAGAAAGTATCTGTGGACAAGTTTGGGGTGAAGATATTGGCTCATGTAGGTTTCTCACACCACAGCTCTCCTGGGCAGCTTCTGGCAGTGAAACCTCTTGCCAGCATCTGAGTTTACATGAGGGCCTGGCAGGGGAATGTGCTGCTCAGTGCACAGGCAGCCTCAGTCAGTCCCACGGGCTCACTGCCCTGACGCTGAGCTTTTAACTTGAAGCTCTAGCTGGACACGGAGCAGCTCCGGCTACATGACACGGAGCTGTGAAAGTAAATCACTTTGCTGGGAACAAGGGGAAGTCCAGCACATTGTTTTGCAGGCTTTGCCTACAAGCTTCTTTGCAGTATAAGCATAGAATATATACACCCAGGAAAGCAGAAAAGGATGGATTTCCAGCGTAGAGCTCACCCCTTCCCCATCCCGGAGGATGAAGAGGTTGCGTACAAAGTCGCTCCTGATGCTCACAACTCTGCAGGGAATGAAGGCGAGAAACCAGTGTCAAAACTGCAACGTAGGCACAGTGAAATAAAGCTCTACAAAGAGTTCTGTGACTTTTATGCAAGATTGTAAGTTGGTCCTGTTCAGCTTTGGGCTGTATCTGCAGTGAGGTTACTGGTGGATTGTACCGATGTCTCTTATTGTCTGCGATCCAGGCAGACTGTGCAGGCTGTTCTCTAATCCAACCTCTGCCACCTTTCTGCTTGATATATTGCCAGCTGTAATTGTCAACTAAAATCTGAGTTTGTTGCTTTAGATTTCGTCATTAATTGCGTCAGGAATGTTTATAGGCAGTTAAAAGAGGGTTGGAATTTGTCAAGTAGTCTCTGTGACTTCAGGTTGTTTGCCTGTTATTTTGGGCTTCATTGATGCAGAAGTATTTCATGCATCACTGATTTTACATATATGATGTGTTTCAAAGTTAAGCACTTTTGCATCCTGAAGGGGAAACTCTCTGTTTACTTTTGGTTTTGAGCATTGTTTCATGTTTGTGCTTGGATTATACTTTCTGTATGGCAGCACTTTACATCCTTCCTGCTTGAGAACTCATGAAAGTTCTCAGCTTCTGTTGTAATTATTCTTCATTTAGATTGATAAGGAGGATGGGGAATTGAGGTTTTTCCCCACAGAAAGCATACACAGTCCATAGAGATCATCAGTGAGCTTTATAGTTAACCACAGCTTATATGTATAGTCACTGCAGTTTGTCCATAGGTCTGTTATGTATGGGACAGACCATCCTCTATCTGTTTTCCTTGTGAAATTTGCCCACTTGTTGTTTCACTGGGAGGGCAGTGAATACTTGGGTAGCAGTTAGTTTTCCTCTTCCACAAAGATCTCTAGAGAGAGGGGGAAAAAAAGTGCCAGCTAATAATAACTGGTCAGATGTGACCTTGCTCTTCTGTGAGGCAGTGTAAGAAATAGATAAAGCACATTCCTTTCTGAACCACGTGCTAGGTGTTTGCCTGCTCCCTTGGATGTTGTGCAAGGAATGAATTTCAATTTCTGGTGGGAGCCAAAAGGTCTTATCACCTTACCTTGGGGAAGGTTTGGCATCTTGCAGAGGACTGAAGGCTCTGCATTTCCAGGCACACCATGACAGATGTATCAAATGTGTGCATGAGTTCATGTGTTTAAAACATTGTCACTAGTTTAATACCTTCCAGATAGATGTTTGAGTCAGTGGTTTTGCCAGCTGAGGTCAGATTGTAATGAAACTAGAACATTGCCCCATATTTGTTGGGAAGGTTTGGCATCTTGCAGAGGACTGAAGGCTCTGCATTTCCAGGCACACCATGACAGATGTATCAAATGTGTGCATGAGTTCATGTGTTTAAAACATTGTCACTAGTTTAATACCTTCCAGATAGATGTTTGAGTCAGTGGTTTTGCCAGCTGAGGTCAGATTGTAATGAAACTAGAACATTGCCCCATATTTGTTCTCTGCTATCACATCGTATTAGGGCAGAGAGGTGATCCTGCAAGGCACAGCTTTGAGAGTCTAGATATGAGTAGAAAATGTTTGGAAAGGAAAAGTCAAGTGAGCCTTTTTTTTCTGGCCTTCATTAACTGAAGCACAGCTGTACTGTCTTCTGCAGATGTGGACATGAACCCAGTGAAGTAGTTAATTCATCTGACATTTTGCAGCTACCACACTGTCAGTTTTTGGCCCTGTGCCTTGGATGAGCAGCCAAGGTTGCTATTTGAGTATTTTTTGCATCCCTGGCATGAGTTTGCCAGTTTGTGTTGGCCTGGTTGTGGGTCACAGTGGGGCAGCCAGAGCATTCCCACCCTTGGCCCTGGAGTGGGCTGTGAGGTGGCACAGGATGAGCTGAGCTCCCTGAGATGAACCCTAACAAACCAACCAAAAAATCCCATGACTTCAAACTAAACTTTTAAAATTACTTCAAGCTCTGCAGATCTTCTGTAAGGGATAATTTCAGTGATATCTGCCAGGCTAGACACTGCACACTATTTCACATGTGCAGTGAAGTTTTGAACCAATGCTGTTATCTATCTATCTATCTATCTTAGAAGTCCGAAGTGTTTATATATATATATTTTAGACTTAGGAATTGTTTTAGAAACAATAATTCATGTTTCCTTCAGTGATGCCAGTCCTCAGTCATTGTTAATATTGGATCTGGCACTGGAGGATCTGGTTTAGGGTTTAGGGGTTCCACCACTGACAGGTTAATGGTTTGACTCAATGATCTCAGAGGTCTCGTCCAACCCTGATGGTTCTATGAATATTTGCCCTTGTTTTCTCTAATTCTAACGTGTCTTGCAATTTTTATAGTACTTTGAATTGCCTGTCTCTTCTCACCATAAAAAGCCTGTAAAGTTATCAGTAGTAGCAACACTGCTGTTTAGTTTTTTGAATGAATAGCTTTTAAAGTGCATTGCAGGGGTTTTGTTTCTAAGGAGTTTGGGAGTGAGGGAAGTGGTAGTTTTATCTCCACCACTGCCACAAGCAATGAAGTCCACTGAAAAGTCTTGTGTTGAGCAACTCAATGTTAGGCTGATGCAGCTTGGCCTTGGGACAGGGGCAAAAAAGCCCCACAACCAGTGGTGTTGGCTATCTAGGCTAATTTTCTTTCTATTTCTTTCTATTATTTTCTGACAGCAACATGGCAAATGCCCTGGCAAATGCCATCTGTGAGCGCTGCAGAGGTGGCTTTGCCCCTGCTGAGAAAATTGTCAATAGCAACGGGGAGCTGTACCACGAGCAGTGCTTCGTCTGCGCCCAGTGCTTCCAGCAGTTCCCAGAAGGGCTCTTCTATGAGGTAAGCAGGGCCAAGTAGCCCTCTGGCCCCCAACCTTGATCTTGTGCCTTCAGTCCCATACCAGGAGTAGCTATGGTGTCATGGTTTAACCCCAGCAGCCACCAAACCCCACACAGCCCCTTGCTCGGTCCCCCAGCAGCAGGATGGGGGAGAATCAGGAGGGTAAAAGCTAGAAAAACTCATGGGTTGAGATAAAGGCAGTTTAAGAGGGACAGCAAAAGCTGCACACATAAGCAAAGCAAAGCAAGGAATTAATTCACTGCTTCCCATAGGCAGGAGGTGTTCAGCACCTCCAGGAGAGCAGGGACCATCACACCGAATGGTTCCTTGGAAAGACAAACACCATCACTCCAAATGTTCCACCTCCCATTTATATACTGGGCATGACATTCTATGGTGTGGAATATCCCTTTGGCTAGTTCAGGTCACCTCTCCTGGCTATGCTCCCTCCCAGTTTCTTTTGTGTACCTTCTCACTGGCAGAGCATTACACACAAGAAAGAAAATGTTCTTGGTTTAAGATAAACACAACCCAGCAGAAACCAAAACATCAGTGTGTTGTCAACACTGTTCTCACTCTGAATCCAAACACAGCATTGTACCAGCTACTGAGATGAAATTAACTCCATCCCAGCTGAAACCAGCACACTATGGGCAGATTTGTAGCTTAGAAAGTCTCATGGCAAGTACTGGGCTCCAAAAGAATCATAGAATCATCAAGGTTGGAGGAGACCTCTAAGATCATCGAGTCCAACCATTAACCTGTCACTGCTGGAACCCTAAACCCTCATCCATATCCTCCAGTGCCAGATCCAGATGCTTCTTCAGTGCTGTCAGGGATGGTGACTCCACCACCTCCCTGGGCAACCTATTCCAGTGCTTGAACAGGAAAGACATTTCTCCTCACATCCAGCCTGACTCTGCCCTGGCTCAGCTCAAGGCCATTCCCTCTAGTCCTCTCCCTGCAGCCATGGCAGGACACACATCCCTCACCTCTCTCCAACCCTGGCAGGGAGTTGCAGAGAGCCAGGAGGTCACCCCTGAGCCTCTTCTCCAGGCTAAACAAACCCAATTCCCTCAGCCCTTCCTCATGTTTTCTAGACCTAGGACAAGCACAGTAAAGGAAGAAAAAACCCACAATAATTTCCGTGCTAACTTGAGGGACATCAGTGTACATAACCTTTTTTAAATGTGTAGCGTAACATTGTCCAAGCTGAGAAAATTCTTGCTGGAGATCTCTTTTCAGTGCAGATTTTTTCCCCTGAAATTTGTGAATCTGATGTATCATACCAGAAATGCAGAGAAAGCACACTCCTTAGAGGAGAAAGCTACATAGAGGGAAAGGTCCATAGGAGGTTTGTTGCTGGGTTGAGAGGCCACCACAGCACGTGAAAAGAGATGACCTGTAAGTCAACATGCTGAGATCAGTGTGTGTGGAGAGCCCAAACCAGACAGGCCCTATGTAGTGTCAACTCCTAAGTTTAACAGAGCAGAGCATTTGAAATTATCAGCTCTTAACACACTTTCAGGGGTTAAAACCTGCTCCCATTCATATTCCTCAGCTCCAGGTCGATTGCCCTCAGCTCAAATGGATATTTTAGTATCTGTGTAATTCTCTTTTACAGTCCCCTATGCTGAGGATTCAGGATGTGGCTCAGCACAGTGTCTTTACTGAAAGCTTTAGACTAGCTCATAAAATACTAAGTGATTCGTATAAGGAACAACAGACGGTTTATAGACATGGAATTACTGTCTGAGAGATAAGGTCCCACTCAAGTAGTTTGTAGTCCAACGTGCAGTAGCAGTTCCAGGATTCCTGTCATATTATGATACAAAAAGGAAGGTGAGTAATGTGTTCAAAGCACAATTCAGTGCTCTCATGTACAGGTGCCACCTTTGTGGCAAGAGCCCCACAGTTTATCTTCCACAGCAGCAGTTCTAATTTTGCAGAGCCACGTTATGTGCTGAGGGAGTGTGGATTGGAAAAGAGACTGGCAAAGGGGATTCCTGGGGTTTGCTTCCTCTCACCTTGTTTGAGGATCAAAAGACTTTTCGGTGCTCTAGGGATAGTGTTGCACAAATTGTGGTAAATGAGCTGCTAGTATTGCAGGAGACATCAAAAGCTGAGCCGCAAGGCAGAAGTAATTAAAAGAAGACAAAGCTGAACCCTCTAGCTACTTAACCCCATGCATTACATTTGCTAATATATCCTGAGCTGCTTCCTGCTTGCAGGCAGGGTAAGGAGTCGGTCCTGACCTGTTAAGACCTGAGGCAAACATGAAGTGATACCAGAGTTTCAAAACTAAAATATCTCTAATTGTGTTGATCAAATTGTCTTAAACCAGTAAAATGTATTTTCTCTAAATAGTGAGTACTTTATTCATCCTTTTCCTGACTCAAAAGGCAATGAGACATTCCAGGGATCTCTTTGAGAATGCTGAATGGTCTTTTGTTGAAGGTAAAAGTCAGAGAAATCCTGCTCTAGGCAGGCTGTATCTCCTTGGGGATGGGCAAAGCCTGCAATGGGAAAATCTTACTTTTGGACCCTGTTCAGGAATGTTACAATTTCTCTATTGCTCATGAGTGGCTATACCTGAATTTCTGTGGCAGGGGCAGATATCCTAGTGGTGTTCAGATTGCATCTAGGCATTTTGCTTCTTACTGCTATCTCTTTAACATTCATATTCATAGAGTCATAGAAATTTTAGGGATTGGAATGGACTTGAAAGGTCACCTAGTCCCAACCCCTGCCCTGGGCAGGGACACCTCCCACCAGAACAGATTGTTCAAGGCTTCATCCAACCTGGCTTTGAACACTAAATCCCTCTTCCCATCTTTGGTGGGATTGCCATCAGCAATCCCATCCCATCATGATGATTGGTATTTGAGCAATCTCTTACTGAGACATGCTGCTCTCTGTTAAAGACTAAGTCAGAAGTGAATGCCAGCAGATTGCCCTGGGAATGAAAACAGCACCATGTACTAACCATGTTTTGATTAATGTTGCTAGGGTTTGGGGTTTTTTCAGGCCAGTTGGCCTGAGAAATGTTACATAGAAAGTGGAAAGTTTCAGTTAAGCATAGACACTTCTTGCCACAGCTGTTAGAGAGGTAAAATAGCATTGGATAGGCTGATGAAGCTGGGCCTGTTCAGCCTGGAGAAGAGACAACTGAGAGGAGATATCATCCATGTATATAGGTATCTAAAGTGGGGCTGTCAAGAGGATGCAGGCTCTTGGTGCTGCCAAGCAATAGGACAAGAGGCAATGGGCAGAAACTAATGCACAGAAAGTTCCACCTGAACATGAGGAAGGACTTCTTTACTGCACAGGTGACTGAGCACTGAATAGATTGCCCAGAGAGATTGTGGATTCTCCCTCACTGGAGATATTTAAGAACTGTCTGGATACAATCCTGAGCCATGTGCTCTAGGGTGGCCCTGCTGGAGTAGGGAGGTTGGACCAAATGACCCACTGTGGTCCCTTCCAACCTTAGCCATTCTGCATTTGGAGGGGTGGCCAGGTAATGTATTTTCCTGAGCAGGTTCCCTGTGGGTAAATGCAGGCACTCTTGGTTGCCCAGCATGAGTTTGTGTTTTATTCTGTGCCTGGTTTAGCTAAGCTAATGTTCCTTGGAAATGATTTCCAGCTCTTAGCAATTGGGAAGGCAAATATTGTTCCCCTGCCTGTTACAAGCCTTGCAGATTTCCCCCAGTTAGTCATTAAGCTGCTTATCACATTTGCCGTCAAACCCTGCCTTGATAAGCTTCCACACTGTGTTCCATGGGTGGGGGTTGAACTGGTCAGGCAGATGCAGGTCTCCTGTGCTGCAGGATGTGTCTCCAGGCTGCCTTTCAGGGACCCAGATCAGCACAGCTTGCTGTGGTTTGGCACTGGAGCTGCCAAATCATAGAACTATCAAGGTTGGAGGAGACCTCTAACATCATCCAGTCCAACCATTAACCTGTCACTGCTGGAACCCCTAAACCCTAAACCAGATCCTCCAGTGCCACATCCAGATGCCTCTTCAACACTTCCAGGGATGGTGACTCCACCACCTCCCTGGGCAATATCCCAGTGCCTCAACACCACAACAGGGAAAACATTTCTCCTCATAGTTCCCTAGAGCTGCTGTTGCAGAGTGTTACAACAGGTAGCAGCACACAGTCCTTTGCTATGAGCAGAACAGCTGGCTTGAACGGAGACCTTCAGTGGCAGCTGTAACTCACTCAGAGGGACAGTGGACATTGCCTCCAACCCACATTACTCTCAGGTCCTAGAAAAGCTCCTCCCTACCAGAGGATGCCCATATCTCCCACTGGGGAGTGTGGGCACCTCACCTTGATATGGGGGAGGTTATGAGAACTGAGTCCTACACCTGGTCCAGGTGTTTGTTAAGAGCCTTGTGCTGTGTGTTTTCAGCAACATCTCAACCTGCTCTGTACTGTGCTGAGGTGGGGGAGATGGAAAAGCTTAGGGACGTGCATTCCACAAGAGAAGAAATAGAGCAAAATCCTTCTGGGCTACTCACAACAGTTATAATTGGTATATCAATATTATCATTACTATTTTATAATAATAAAATGGACTGGCATGTGTCTTTCATCTCCTAAGTGAGAGGGAGTTCCTTTCAGTTTGTTTTTTTTCCTTAGATGTTTATAGTAACCTGTAAAAAGAAGAAAGGAAGGTGCAGTTGCAATGGTCTTGTCAGATTTGTTTCTATTCCAGTTGCACCTTGAGTGTGTTCTTACAATGGGCTCTACCACGAACAACCTTAGAGAAAAAAGTCTTTTAAAGCTCAGTTTTTGTGCATGTCTTTGCACTAAGTCTGCTAAAAAGATGCAGATCAGCTGGAGGTTATGTGATGGGGAAATGTTCTCTGCAGATCCATTTAACTCACAGTCCTCCAGCATCCAACAGGGAAATGACCTTGCTTTTAAACTGTGTACTGTGAGATTTGTTGCAGAGGCTCAAGGCTTGCTCTGATGGGTGGCTGCTGGGTCACTCACACAAGACAGCACAAATGAGCCAAGAAGGTTGAAAATATAAACAAGACTGAGTGGTAACCAACCTGTCTGACGCAAACCAGAGCGGAAGAAAACCTGTTTGGTCTGTCCGGATGAACATGTGGTGGCTCTGAAATCCAAGCAAACCTAAACAAGCCCCACTGGACCACCTGTTTACACAAAACAGGCAGCATTGGGGTTTGGTTTTTTCAGGTTAAAAAGGTTTTTTCTGGCATGAAGCAAGCACAGTGCACAATGGACCAATAATCATAGCACCTTCCAGTATATGAAGGGACTCCAGGGAAGCTGCAGAGGGACTCTGTGTTAGGAGCTGCAGGGACAGGACAAGGGGCAATGGGGAAAAATTGAAGGAGGGGAAAATTAGGTTAAATATTAGGAAAAATATTTTCCCTGTGAGAGTGGTGAGACACTGGCCCAGGTTGCCCAGGGAGGCTGTGGCTGCCCCAACCCTGGCAGTGTTCACAGCCAGGTTGGATGAAGCCTTGAGCAACCTGCTCTGGTGGGAGGTGTCCCTGCCCAGGGCAGGGGGTTGGGGCTGGATGATCTCTAAGGTTCATTCCAACCCCTAAAATTCTATGAATTTCCATTACTCCTTGAGGAAGTAATAGCCCTCTGTCTCTCATTTACTTGATTTTTTAAAGCTCAAATTAAAATAGTAATCTGTCTTAGAGTATTACACCGGAAGAACACTTGACAAATTCCTAGCAGAGACTTCTGAAGGAGTCTGCATTGAGCTCATGTCTTTTGTTCCTACTAGCTGCAATTCAGGCTGGGCACAGGAATTTTCCAGTCTCAAGTATGCAGTGACTTTGAGTGTGTTTCATTAGATCCCCATCCTCCCAGTTGCAAGTGCATTTATTACACTTATGTTGCATCTGATCCTTGGCATTTCATAGTATAAAACAGGTAATCTTGAACCACATTGCTGTAATTTCTGCCCATGCCCCAAAACTTAACTTGTTGGTAGAATTTGATGCTGTTTGCTTTATTTTGTCTTAGACCCAACGGTAAGAATGGAGTGAGATTTCCTGCTATCCTCCTCTTTCCACTGCTTTAAACTAAGACATTTAAATCCAAACATTTTATAGCATACCTAATATTGTCTCTCTGGTTTTGACATGCACTGGTGTCTGGTAAATGTTGGTGCCTGGAGGTATCTAAACGTCTCTCTTCGTTTCAGCACATATTTGCCTGCATGTTTTTACAGATTTTTTGGCTAATTCATTGCTGCTGAGTTTTTTTTATTCCATGTGGGGTTTTTTCCTACGAGAGCTTGAACTGTAGCTGAACTTATCTAAACTGTGATAAAATTCAGATCCAAATCCCTTAAGATCAGTTCCCAATTTAATCTGATTGATGTAGTGAACTTGGTGCGAGAATATTTGTACTTGACTGTCTTAAGGGTCTTTTCCAACCCAAATGATTGAATGATTCTATGAAATAAGCATCACAAAGGAAAAGCTTTATTCTCTTCATGTTTTAGCTGTAAAGCTCCATAAATTGCCAAGATTTCTGTCTCTGGAGGTGTTCTCACTTCCCCCACCCCTGCTGTACTTACTTCCTCCTGTATGTTGGGTCATTCTTGCAGGAAATGTAGATTGAGGAAGAGATCAAATGTGTTCTGGGAAAATACTTCCCACCCACCACCCACTGCCCTGCCAAGGGGTTTTGTTAGCTAATTTCCTGCTCGGAATGTGCTGAGTTTCTGCAGTCTGTCAAACTTCAGATGTCTCTTGGGATGGAAATGGGTGATGGAAAATGCCTTACACTCCTAGCTGTTATTGTGCTATTAACATTACGTGCTAACTAGTAGCTGAATTAAGGTGGATGGATTTAATGCCAAGCACATGGAGCACATCATCTGTTTTTTTTGCTCAGCCCCTCATATTTTATTACCTAATTTTACCTGGAAGCACACCAGCATTTGTCTTATAGAATCATAAAATCAAAGAATCAACCAGGTTAGAAAATACCTCAAAGACCATTGAGCCCAACCCTACTGTGGTTACCAGACCATGGCACTAAGTGCCACATCCAGTTCATCTTGAAAACCTCCAGGGATGGTGAATCCACCACCTCCCTGGGCAGCACATTCCAATG